ACACAACTTTAAGAATTGTTGCAATACTTTCCAAGGAAATAGGCAGTACACACAACTGTTTGTTGACTCATGCTGAAGTTAGATGGCTCTGACGTGGGAAAACCTTTTACGATTGTTTGAACTTAAAACCATGACGTATTTCTGTCTTACCACCCAGTCATTTCACAAAACAAGCTTCCTACAAGATCATCTCTGACTCCAGGTTTTGGTTTATTTGGTTCTGAAACAACAGATTTATGCGTGCAAGCCTGAGTTCGACCCTTCATACAGAAGATGAGGTTCTGGGGGGTAATCACACTGTATACTGCCACGCTTCCCTGATGGAAAATAAACTTCAGCTTGAGGAATGTTAGAGATAACACAGGAGACGGCTTGGTACAAGGTTCAGGGAATATTCTGCTGTTACGTGAAGCGATATCGGGAAATGTAAGCCTTTCGATTACAACGCCGTTTCTACATCACGCACACCTGAGCAATTAATATAATTATGTGCAGACACTAGCTGAGGATGACATTAAAGTCTTCAACTAATTAGCTTCTGGAAAGCATTAAAAAAACTCCGTCGCCTGAGTCCGCAAGCGAACTATACCGACTGAGGGACCGTCGCTTGTCGGCGAAGTTAGTGCCAACTTTAGCGGATAGAGGGTGTCACGTGGTCAGTGCAACGAATCCCCACGCCCGTTAAGTACGGTCGGAGGGGCCAGAAGCCTTACGCGCCGGTCGGCCGGCCGCCCTTTACCCTGGCACTCATTTGTGTTAAGAGGCAGAATCGACCCCATGGCTTGCGGACTATAGCCACGGAATTTCTTTTTGTTTTGATCAGGAAATGAAAACAACTTCACTGGTGTATCTAATAATTTGAAATCGTTTCCTATATCACTGCATGCGAAAGTGGCACGACCAAAATCCTTTTATTTTTATTATTTTTTTTTTTGGGNGGGGGGGGGGGTCGCCAGATTATAAATTGCCATGAAAGTGGTTCACGGGAGGTTTAAGATTGGGAGACGCTATTGTAGAGCAAGTCAGCTGGGTCTGCATGAACAGAAAGAGGAAAAGTGCGTAAAAAAACATTTATTCTCTGAGACAGACACACTTAGAAGACACTACATAACGCAGCAGTAGTGCCTATATATAACTGTCATCATAAAACTGTTGTGAGACTAGTCCTACATCTTGCAGAAACTAAATTGAATACGTTACTTTTTTCTGTGAAAATAAATAGTACGGCTTGTAATTTGGATTCACGTTTGAGTTGCGGACCGGTACCAGTTCGCGGACCAGTGTTGAAATACCCCGCAAATAAAAAAATTCAATGTGCAATAATTCGCGTAGAAGTTGCCATACCTGTCGCAAGATTGCAGAATGTATAGTATATGCAGTGCGATCTGTCGGCGGCATGCTAAACTGAGAACAACGCCGTTGGGTCGATTAGCATCGATAGTCACGTATCGACGTCTTGTTGAAGGAATGTGACGCAATTTTCCCAAGTATTGAATAGTAAGCCCTAATTACATTGTGTTTTGTTCCACTCTGTTATTATATCCCGCCATAAGGAGAGAGAGTCTTATTCATGGGCACTGGCAGGCGAGGCAAACAAGCCAGGTATGCACTCCCGCCCCGATTTTTTTTGG